TCAACACTAATGTTTCTTTTTTAAAGCATTCTCTTGATCTTTCCAATCCATCCAGCTACTCTGTCATATCTCTCCTCCCCTTCACTGCTAAACTTCTTGAAAAAAGTTGCCTATAAAATTAAAACAACTCTGAGATACCATATCACACCTATCAGATTGGCTAACATGACAAAGCAGGAAAATCATAAGTGTTGGAGAAGATGTGGGAAAATTGGAGCACTAAGGCATTGTTGGTGGAGTTGTGAACTGATCTAACCATTCTGGAGAGCAATGTGGAACTATGCCCAAAGGCCTACCCTTTGCTCCAGCAATACCACTAGTAGGTCTGTATCCCAAAGAGATAATAAAAAAAGAAAAGGACCCACTTGTACAAAAATGTTTATAGCAGCTCTTTTTTGTGGTGGCCAAGAATTGGAAATTGAGGGGATGCCCATCAATTGGGAATGGCTGAACAAGTTGTGATATATGAATGTAATGGACATAATGCTATTGTTCCATAAGAAATGGTGAGCAGTCAAATTTCATAAAAACCTGGAAATACTTGCATGAATTGATTCTGAATGAAGTGAGCAGAACCAAGAGAACATTATGCAATGACTGACTTTGTTAGACTGAGCTCTTCTCAGCAATGCAATGATCTAGAAAATTCCAAAAGACTCATGATGTATCTTGAGAAAGAATTATGGAGTCTGAATGCAAATTGAAGCATACTATTTTCTCTCTTTTTTTTCCTTTCTAGTGATTTTCCCCTTTTGTTTTGATCCTTCTTTCACAACATAAGTAATGTGGAAATGTTTAATATGATTGTACATGTATAGCCCATATCAAATTGCATGCTGGGGAGGTGGGAGAGGAAGGAAGGGGGAATTTAGAACTCAAAATCTTATAAAAGTGAATGTTGAAAACTCAAATAAATAAATTAATTTTAAAAATTGCCTATACCTGAAGTGTTTCTACTTTCTGACTACCCACTTTCTCCTTAACCCTCCATAGTTAGACTTCTCCCCTCACTACTCTACTGAAACTGCTTTCTCTAAAGTTACCAACAACATCCAGTTTACTGAATTCAGTGGCTCTCCTCCCCATTTCTAATACTCTGTCTTTTTCTCTAGATTTTGGCATTGTTGACCATCCTCTCCAGTGTGATCTTAGCTTTAGAGAGATGCCTCACTTTCCTAGAGCTCCTACTTCTCTAGATGATCATTGTCTCTCCTTTTTTCTACTGCTTAATGTGAGCATTCTCCAAAGATATGTCCTCAGCATTCATTTCCCTCTTTACTTCTCTCCTATGACAATTTCATTCATCTCCATGGTCTTGATTATCATCCCCCTGCAGATAACTTCCCAAATCTACAGCTTTGGTCCAGATCTCTCTTATGAACTACCTATAAGAAGCTCTTCCTCACTAGATATCTCATTAGCACTTCAAAATAACATGTCCTAAACTGAACTCATCTTTCTCTCTAAATCTGCTCTTTTTCTGACTTCACCAGATCTGCTATGTTCATAATTTTGTAGCTGTCTTTGACTCTTTCCATTTCTTCACTATTCATATTCAATCAGTCAAATTATCAGGTCCTTTCTAACCCATCTTAAAAACACCTCTCTATTCCCATTGTAAACACACAAGTTTAGGCCCTAATCATCACCCCCCTGAACTATTACAATAGTTCACTACAGGTTTTCCAATCTCCACTTTCTACCCAGTCCAATCCATTCTTCATCTCACTGCCAAAATAATGTATAGATCTAGTCATGCCACTCCTCTACTCAAAAATCTTCTGTGCCTCCTTAATAAAGTTTATGCTCTCAGCATTATCCTGAGTTCAGGTGTGTGTGAAATTCCTTACGTAAGGTGTAAAAGTTCTCTTTTGCCCTGTTGGCATTAATGAAGCTTCCTTAATAAATTTCCTTTCCTTTTAAATTTCCTTGTCAGGAAATTTCTTTGATAAGGTACGAATTTTTCACCTTATCCTGAATTGTTCCACCACACTGAACATGACTAAATGATTCACAGCCAATTCACACACCTAGGCTACACTCGTAGAGCTGGGATTTTAAAAAGCAGGTTGGAAAGCTAGAAGAGAGGAAAATCATAGTTGGGAGCTTAGACAGACAGAAACTGAACATCCATAGACTGTTTCCTGGAAGGAAATCTGCACAGCTAGTGGCTCTACCAGGGAGCCAAGAACTGCTGGGAACTGTGGGGCCCCAGTTAGTGGTGTTTGACAGAGGATTCTCAGGAACCAGAGGAAGGGGTTCCTAGAACAAGTTTCCTGGATTTGGGGGAGGATTTCCTTGGATAAGCAAGGTTTGAAGCCAAGAATCAGCAAGGGACTGAGTCTCAATGTGGAAAAGCAAACTCAGGCCCGGTCTTTTGCTATGTTCTATGTAGACTTTGAAGGTCCATGTAAGAGGGAACAACTCTCTAGTGAGTGCAAATGGTTCCTTCACTTTTTGTTGTTGTTTTTTGTTTTGTTTTGTTTTGGAAAGAAGTGTTGCACCCAGGGTGGTACTAGAAATTTGGAAGACAATATGGGTAACTGAGGGGAAGCAGGGATTCACTAAAGACAGAAAGAGAATTGTCTTCTTTACAGGCTCAGGTATGAGTTCTTTCAGTTTTAAAAATCAGGTTAAATAAAACCTATCCTATATTACATGTATTCTCAGACTAAGTATTTGAATGGTAGCTGAGGGATTTTTCTTTTTCATAGAGATGTAGAAGTGAGGCAAATCCTGTTATTCTCAGAGGAAACCCTGAGTGGGGTTAGAAGCAAAAAAGGAGGATTATAAAAAGTCCCTCAGATTTTTCGTGGCCCATGTAAACTCATGCTTTTGGTCCTGGGCCACTGAATACCTACTGAGCCCCTATAGTCTGGTACTACACTGAATTTCTAGCCTCATCCTTTTGATGCTATAGTCAAACTAGGTAATTCTTTCCTCCCCAAATATTCACTGTCCTCTCATACCTCCATACCTTTACTGAGGCTGTTTTCTATGCCCAGAATATTCTCTCTCCCCATCTTTGCCTGTTGAACCCAACCTTTAAAGACCAATATAAATGTTCACACCTCCAGGAAGCTTTCCCCTTTTCCCCTCAGTTGATAATGACATTCAGCAATTCAATTCAACTAACATTTATTAGGTGCCTCTATTTGCCAAGTGCTGGAGATATAAAGACAAATTAGGTCTTGTCCATAGAGAACTTTTATCTCTACTAGACCTCCCATCACCATTTTATTTTGTAACTCTCTAATGGACATAACCCACACTCTCATTCACTGGACTTTTATCTGGAGACTGTGGCATAGAGAATGAGAGCTAGCCTTTGAGTCAGGAAGATGTAGATTATGTCAAGTCTCTGACTGCTGCTGGTTGTGAGACCCTGGGCAAATCCATTACTTTCAGTGCCCCAGACAACTCTAAAGCTATAAATTGCAGAGCAAATGACTGCTCTGCATTGCTAGAAAGACCAAAACCATAGGTCTAATCTAAAAAAGCAATTTCTCATGTAATACTCTATTGTCCTATTTTGGTTTCCATCCCCCTTGCTAGACAGTGAGCTCCTTGAGATGGGGGCTTTGTTTTTTGCCCAGTCCCATAGTGCAGTGCTGTACTCACACTAACTAAATGTTTGTTGATAATTGAGTTTGATTTTCATGTTGGTTGGTCAGGTATGGGTTGGACAAGATGCATTCACTTCCACATCTGAGATCCTGTGAGTTAGCGTGGTGAGGATCACTGAGTTTGGAGTTTAAAGACTTTTTTTGGAATCCTGGATCTGCTACTAAGTTGTATTTATGACCTTGGGCAAATGGCTCTGAAGAAGCAAATGGCTACCCAGGAGGGGACTAGACCAAAATGATTTCTAAGATTCCTTCTAAATCATACACTTATTATTATTGTTTTTTTCCTTTTTGGTGAGGCAATCAGGGTTAAGTGACTTGCCCAGAGTCACACAGCTAGTCAGCGTCAAGTGTCTGAGGTCACATTTGAACTCAAGTCCTCCTAACTCCAAGGCTGGAGCTCTATCCACAGTGCCACCTAGCTGCCCTATCGCACCCTTATTATTCTAAAAGTTCAGAGTCTATTCTCAGGGCAAGGAGAAAAGGGACAGGGAATAGGATTTTCTGAGACCAGGAACTAGCAGGGAATTCAGTGAAGGTCAAAAAAGTTTTCAAGATCATTATGGCCAGCCTACAGTCAGGATATAATATGAGGGACCAGAGAACAGAATACTTTTTTCCTAAAGGTGTTAGAAGTCAGAAGAAATCTCAATGAGGGTAAAAAGTAAAGAAAGTAACAGGTAAAGCCCCCAAAGGAGAGAACTTCCACTAGAGATCAGACAAAGGAATGGACCTAACACAGGGTGGGTCAAATGGGAGAAGTGAGGACACAGGAACATTTGAAGTCAGAAGAGCATTCTAAGACATGGGGACAAATGGCAAATGATTGATTTTCTGGAATCGAACCAAGCACTATGAGAATTGTAATACAGTTTTATCATAACCACTGGCCTTAAAAATTCTCCAATGCTTTAGGACCTTTCTAACTGTACGGAAAATCCTCACCACCCTGTTTGCCCTAAAACTCCAGTAGACTTCTGAGTACTCAGCAGGAGTCTCAGAGACAAAGTTGAGTCAGAGCAACTGACAGTGCAAATCATGCCTCTGAAGTGGCAGCTCTTTGTGCTGGCATTGAGATATGAAACCTCAAGACCTAAAAGGACTTTGGGCAAAAGGGGCAGAAGTGAAGGGATGCAGTTGGGACAGCTAACTTTGACACTAATGCTTCATCTACAAGCTTTTAGATGGTGTTGTGTTCTGTGCTATCTCCACCTACTGGATTTAGATTGCCTCAAGAAATTTTTATGCCCTCTGGTCTCCAAACCTCAATCTCCTCACTTTCCAGACTTAGAGTGGGAGAAGTCCTCCTCTAACCCCCCCCCATCTATAAAAGTCCTTCTTTGGCCTAGAGCCACCAAAGACACTTGAAAAGTTTCAAATACTTTATTGGGATGCAACATAGCCATTATGCATTCAATTCCATTTCTGTTTACCTTTACGGGAGTCCAGAGTTTCCTAGAAGGCAAGCTTAGTGATGAGATCTCAGATTAAGTGATGCTGGGATTGTCTGACTGAGAGAAACATATGCATGAGACTTAGAAGGGTAAACATGGCTTTTTCATGGAAGTGTTTTCTCCTTTTGTATCGGCAGAAACCTATTTGTGGAGGACTACATATCTTCATGTATGGGGAGGCCAAGAATGAATTGCTACTTATCTTTCCCTTGTCATTTATTTTGCTATTCTGCTGTAAATACATTGCTATTTGGGAAAAAAATAGTGTATGCTTATGTAATGTGACTGTGCACATGTGTTCATGTGCACTGTACAAAAAATTGGTCCCCGTGATTATCTCTGCAAGAGATCTCTCATTATTTCTGCAAAGAGACTGAGAAGACTGGCATGAATGTATGTGAGAACTTTAGTGTGTATCCACGGGTTAGCATATACCTGTGCTTCTATCAGAATTGTCAGAGGCTCACTGTGTGCTAATGAGTGTGTCCTGGAAACTAAGTTTGTGGAAGTGCATAGAATGGTTAAGCATGTATTTTTTTTCATCTCTCTCTTCTTTTGGGGCAAAGGGGAGTAACTAGGTTCCCACTCTTACTGCTTGTGTAGTCGGGTTGTTGGGACGTGGAAGGTATTTATATAGTTTCCTATATCTCTGGGGCTCCTCAGAGATTTGTGTTATCCAAAGGTGAGGGTCACAGGGGGTCATCCTAAAGCTGAAGTCAAGGGGGAATGTGTGTGTGTGTGTGTGTGTGTGTGTGTGAGAGAGAGAGAGAGAGAGAGAGAGAGAGAGAGAGAGAGAGAGAGAGAGAGAGAGAGAGAGAGAGACATCTTGAGCTTAAGAGGCCTCTCCCTCTCCAACATCCCCCTCATCTTCAGCCCCTGCCCCAGCCTCCTCAGGAGCTGGCCACTCACGGGTCTGCCACTCTAGTCGCTCAATGCGATAGGCTATCTTGAGGGCACTGGACTCCAGTTCAGCAAGGAGGCGGGCAAACTTGGTCTGCAGATCATCTAGCTGCTGATCAAGACCGCGCAGGCGGCTGTCCACAGCCTCCTGCAGTGCTATCTCAGCTGCCTCCGCATTCACATCCAGCTTGTTCATCTTGAGTAGGATTTCTCGGCCCTTCTCCTCCATGACAGCCTGGGCTTGTGGGTACTCGCTCAGCACCTCTCGGAGGTCTTCCTTACTCAGGCAGAACAGGTCTGAGTAGCCCAGACTCTTGATGTTTGCAGTTCTACGGTTACCAGACATATTTCCTGGGGTAGAATGGCAAATAGGACACAGTTGTAAAGAGTGACCCAAGGAATGAGCTGTTAAGTATATGGGAAGTAAAGTCCTTTCTCTACAACTAAGATGTCTCAATTCCTCTAGTCCCTATCTCAAGGTTCAGCCTTCCCCCTCACCCATTAAAACCTTTTATCTGGTCCTGTTCCCAAGGAAAAACCCTTCAACACACTGTTTTATTGGCCACAGTACCTGTGAGGCAGACCCATCTCTTAGCCCTTCCTTCCAAAGGCCACTTCTGGGTCCCCCCTCTTTCCAGATACAGAATCAAGTCCATTCCTTACATCTCTTCACCAACTCCCACCCAATACACCCTAGGTCTTTGAGCCATGAATCTCTTTCTTAGGGGTCCTTCTAGACTCAGGATCTAGAGCATCTTTATCCCCAGATGGAGCTAGGAGTTCCTTTCCTAGGCTATCATTTGAGCCACCCCCATTCTCTCACCTTTGATATTTATGATGCTAATCTCCCCAAAGTAAAGCCCAGCACCCAGCACTGCATATTGGGTAACACCATCATCAGCCACCACAGCCAACTGGCCTTCCCGGATGATGTACATTTCACGGCCAATATCGCCCTTACGGCATACGTATTCTCCTGGTGAATAGGTCTGGGGCTGCAGCTTTAGTACGAGCTCCTCCAGGAGGCTGGCCTCACAGTTCTGGAAGATCTGCACACGGCTTAGGGTGGGCAGATGCACAGATACTGCAACCTCAGCCCGCAGGCGCTCAGGCAGGTGCTGCAGAATTGCCACCTCATTTGTCATTTTCTTGTTAATCTGTAGGTGTTGGTACCTAGAGTGGTAACAGAGGTGGTAGTGGGCCATGGGCAGATGGACTCTTCCCCCTGACACATGACCCACACCTTGCTGCCTCTGCTCAAGCCCAGATGCTCTGCCTGGCCCAATATTATCTACTTCATAGGGACCAGATCACATCCTGGCTCCTTCAATAATCACATAATCTTAGACTGTGGAGGCTAACAATCTGACCTCATCTAGTCTAACCAACACCTTGATAAGAACCCCTTCTAAAGATGGGGTAGTGTGACCCAACCTCCCCTGGAAGTCTTCCAGCAATAGAAACTGACACCTCTCAATGAGCCAATTTCCCTTTGGTTAGGCTCTAACTTTTAGAAAGCATTTTCTTACCTGGAACTGAAATCTGCCTCTCTGTAGCTTGTAAGTCTCCCATTGCTCCTAAGTCTGCCAAGCAGAACTAGTCTGATTTTTCTTCTCTAATATAGCTACTCTTCAGATAATTGAAGATACTGATCATATGTCCCCTAAGCATTCTTGTAAGTTAAACACCCCTAGTTCCTTCAAATGATCTCTCTCTTCCCTGAGGCCTTATTGTTTGTGCATGTCCACAAGTTATCAATTTTCTCCAACTGGATAAGATAATTTATGCAGACCTTTTTGAAAACTCTAAAGAACTATATCAACATCAGCTATTATTATTATTAATCTACACACAGGTTCTTCTGACATCTCCCAGGAGTAAAGCTGAGTCTATCCTTCATTCAGGAAGTTCTCAGTTTAGGTGAGAAGTGGAGCTTCTCCCAGGCATGGGCATGTCTGGTCTACCACATGCCAAAGTCTGGGAATCTAACAGTCCCAGGACCCTGTGCAGGACAAGCTTGGTGTGGTGGAAGGAGAACTGGATTTGGAGTCAGAAGCCTCTGTTCCAATTTTGACTCTACTAACTTATCTGTAGGAACTTTGGCAAATCACTTCTCTTCCTGGGCCACTGTCTGTTCATCTATAAAATTCAATAAGCATTCATTAAGCATTTACTCTATGCTAGGCACTGGACTAAGCTGTGAGAGGTTCTGGCCCCCAAGGAGTTCAAATGCTAATGGGATATACATGATTTCTATGTTCCCTTCCAATTCTAGATTGTAGATTCTTGTTCTCCTCTTTTTGTCGAGGAGATCTTGGAGGTGATAGGGAGCCAAGAGAGCTTTTTGAGCAGGGCAGTAGGGGCAGGGGGAATAGTCAGTTGTATGCATTAGAAAAATCACACTAGGTCACCATCCCTACCTGGTCCCTCCCTACCTTTCCAGCCCTTTTGCACCTTCCTTCCATGAACTCTACCATCCAGCAACACTGGCCTACCTGGAGCTCCTTCAAAAAGAGCTCCATCCATCATTGCCATGGCTATGCAAGATCTGTCCACCATCCTTGGAAGGCTCTGCCTCCTCATCTCTGGTTCTTAGTTACCCTGGCTTCCTTCAGTACTCAGCTCAAATGCTACCTTCTGCAGGGGGTTTTTCCCAGTCCTCCCAGTCACTAATGTCCCCCTTCACCTATTCTATATATATCTCCTATGTATCTGATTATTTACATGTTGTTTCCCCCATTAGAATATGAGTTTTCTGGGGATAAGGATTAGGCTTGTGTGCTTTCTTTGTATTCCCAGTGTTTAGCACATTGCCTGACATGTAATACATGCTTAAAAAATGCTTGGTGACTGATTGACTCGCAGAACCCCCAAATCTCAAAGCTAGAAGGGTTATCTAGTCTAGACCATTCCTAAAATAAAAATCTCTAAATTTAGAGTTAAAGAGACTTGAGTCCAGCTTGCTTTTATAGATGGGGAAATTGAGATCCAGAATAATTCAGTTCCTTATTCAAGTTTACCCTTATTTCTAAGGTCTTGCACAGCTCAGATTCCAAGCCAGGCACCTTTAATTCCAAATCCAGTGATTTTTTTCACTACATGATACTAGTGGTTATCCAGGTTGATATCTTCTCTTCCAGTTTCATGAGAAGTCCCTCCACAATCCTCCTCCTTCTGCTTTCTCTGCTTTCCTATCTTCTCCCATTTCTTCCCTGAAAGGAGTACTTTCATACTCCTGCCACCATGTCTCCAATAGTCAATGACATACCCTTTGCTCCCCATCCCTGAGTCCTGCCTCCTTGCCACTGATGCCTCCCTAGCCTCCACCTTCCTATGGCTAAATCCTCACCACTAAAAGATACTTCATATCTTGCAAAGCCTTCCTCTGTCCCAATTAACATGCCCCAGCAAGCAAGTACTCCCCATAAGACAACAGTCCTTGAGTTCTCATGGCTAAGCTCCTCCTCTTGCCCCAATACCTCCTACTCTCTCAGCATCAAGACCCTCACCAGTCAATGACTCGACGCTCCAGTCGACGGTTGACATGATGCAGCTTCATGTATTTCTTGACAAGTGCGTGGTCAGGGTAGAAGGCTGCATCAGCTGTGTTCATATTGTAGATGACTGAGCTCATGCTACCCATTATGGTGGCAAAGCCCATGACAGCCAGCAAGAAGTCACCCACCATAAAAAGATACTCCTCCTCACGGGCTGGCAGTGGTATGTCACCTACAGTGGTGAGGATGAGTGTAGAAAAGTAGAAACTGTAGAGGTACTGGCGACGAAGGCGTTCAAAGCCTGGCTGTGCTGGGTCAGGGTATACCCAGACATCACGCCCAAAGCCTAGGTATCGTGACAATGCAAAATATAGACAGCTATTCCAGTGGATGACAACAAAGATATAGAGCATAAGTTTGGCAATTCGGAAAGCATTGGGATATGCTGTACGTGTCTCTGTTCGGTCAAAGGCCTCAAAAAGGCGTGGAACTCGAAGAAACCGATTGAGCCTCAGTGTAGGTGTATGTGGGCCCAAGCTCAAGTATGCCAAGTCTGTGGGTGCCAGGGACAATATATCCAACAAGAAACCTGATGTCCGCACATAGCGCTGTGAGATCTGGCCCTTGTCCAGTACCAAGATGCCCTGATCCAGGAACCCTGAGGTTAGAAAGGGGTATAAGGGTTAGCTCCAGTATTAGAGATGCAACAAAGAGCCAGAGTGGGGCTGTACAAGTTTTCAGGGTTGATAGAGGGGTCAGCAGGCTTTAGTGGGGTTGATGGGGAAGTCACCTGGCTCTTTTTAGCCTTTCACAGTATTTAACATTTGATTTAACATTTAACCATGTCTTTGTAGGGGGTATCTCCCATGCCTAGAATGTATTCCCTCTGTAGCTCTGCCTCTTCACATCCCTACCTTCCCATAGATCTCAGCTGAGACCTGAAACCTTCCCCAATCCATTGAATTGTTAGTGAGCTCTCCCTGCTCAAATTGTCTTATATTTACTTTAATTATCTGCGCACAAGTTATTTATTGCCGGCTCAACCCCCTTCCCTCCCCCACTTCCACCCAGTGGAACGTATATTCTTTGAGGTCTGGGACTGGTTTTGTATCCCTAATAACTAGAATAATGCCATACACATAGTGGGTGTTTGATAAATGTTTGTTGTATTGAATCACAGGAGTAGAGGGCTTGGTGGGATAGATCAACAGGAATCAAAGGTTTGATGGGGGGAACAGCAAGGATTCTAAGGCATTTGGGGAGCCCAGGCTGGGATATCACTGACCAGTGTGGAAGTGCACGATAATGTCCACTAAGTAGAGCAGGTCACTTATATAATCCAGGATCAGCCAGGCCAACAAGTAGCCATGCTGCAGATCTGGGAAGCAGGCTCTGGGGATAGAGGAGGGAATATTTTGAGAGGGACCTGGTTGCAGCTGCTTCTGCTCCAGGGCCCTAACAGTGAAAACCCTCTATTCTACCCAGAGTCTCCCAAAAGCAGCACAAGCCCCCTTTCTCCTTCCTCCACACCCTTAGACCTTGCCAAGTGCTTTTCTGCACCCTTCTTCCCTCTTCTTACCTGCAAACAAGGATAATGAGGTTATACATGATTGGGAACACCATGGTATTGAGCCACCAATAATACTGGTCCCCTGATGGATCCAGGACAGGCACTGACTTCCTGGAGGTGGTGGAAGGGGAGTTTCAGAGTATGACCACTGAAGAAGGCCCCAGGGAAGAGAGGGTTACGGGACTGAGGGCTCAGTTTCTTAGTGGCAATAAATCTTCTTCCCTTCTCTTATCCCCCAAGTATTTGGGCTCTGAGCATCCTCCTTCCCATTACACTATGTTCTATCAGAGAATTTCCCATTTACCTCCCCCACATATATATCTTAGGGTCCCTTCCCCTCTCACCTGGGTTTGGAAGATGCCTGAGGAGATGACTCTTTGGTATTCACTTTGGACTCTTGACTCATGGCGCTGGAGTCTGGGCCTGGCTACAGGTATCTGTGGGAGAAGGATGATTCTGGCATGACAAAGATTCTACCAGGTCTATGGGAAGAGAATGATTTTGAGGGGTAGTGTTTGAAGAAGATTCTGTGGGATCAGTAAAGATGGATATTCTGAGAGGATAAGTAGATTAAAGATTCTGGGGGGTCCATAGGGTGAAGAATTCTGAGGGAAAGTCAATTTTTTTGAGGGAGAATTCTACAGAGTTAGTGGAAGAGGATAGTCTTTGGGGTTGAACAGGAGAGAAATCAGTGAGGGAGAAGATATGAGAAGAGTTGGTGGGGGGGAAGGATTCTGAAGGGTTGGTGAAGGAGAAACATTTTGGGGTAGGGTATGTAGGGGGAGGATCACTGAGAAAGATTTTGGGGAACCTGTGATTAGGGAAGGCTGATATTTGAGGATTTATGAAGAAGGGAGGAGTGCATCTCTGAGGAGATGAGGAAAATACTAGACGCCAGTAAAAGGAAGAAGATTTTGGGCTCTGAAGAAAAAATATGGGGAATCAGTGAGAGAGAAGATTCTGGGGAAACAGTGTAGGAGGAAGGATTATGAGGCATCTGTGAGAGAAAATAATTCTTAGTGGTCCTGTGGAAAAAGAAGATCCTGGGCAATTTATGGGGGGTGTGGTATAAGAGGTGAGGACAAAGTAGATCCTATAGCAGGGTCATAGAGGACATGGGAGAATGATTTTGGGGGTTACTACATGGTGAAGAATTCTAGGTAGTTTATGGCGGTTGTGGGAGGGAAGAAGTTGACTCTGGAGAAGGACCTATGAAGGTTTTATGGGAAGAAGATTGTTGGGAAAGGCAAAAGAAGGGAGAAAGGAAGACTGGAAGTATATGAAGGTAAGATTCAAAGGGTGTTGTGTGTGAAGATTCTGGGATGGATCTGGGAAGGAAGAGGAAGATTCTAAAGGTTCTAAAGTCTGGCAGGTTTGAGACAGAAGATGTGGGATGTGTCAGGAGCATAGATTTGGATCAAGAAGACCTGGATTAAATACTAGCTCTATTATTTACTACTTGTATAACCCTGGACAAACCTCTTAGTCTCTCTCTGATCCTCAGTTTCCTCATCTGTAAAATGAAGGAGTTGGACTAGATCAGAGGTGTCATAGTCAGCAAAAGCCCTGAGTACAGCCTGAATCAGATTAAAATATAATTGGGAAATGTTTAACAAAATAAGTAAAAATAACAACGTAGATAATGTTAGTTTGTGATTTTCTAAGTCAATATGCGACCTGTGAGGATCTCTTTCTACTTGAATTTGACACCACTGGGCTAAATGACTAAAGTCCCTTCCAGTTCTAAATTCTGTGATCTTATAATTTTAGGAGGGTTGCACACAAGAGGATTGGAGTGGGGAGAAATTTGAGGGTTTTGGTGGGAGGAAGGGACTGGTAAAGTTTGTGAGAAAGAAGATGAAGGATTAATTGGAAGAGGAAGATTCTTGGAGGGGGAGGGTTCAGGGAAAAGAAAGTTTATGCACACTAATAGGCATAGAAGTATTGTAGATAGAGTGCTGAAGCTGAGTCTCTTAGCTTCAGTTTCCTCCTGTGTAAATGGTGGAACTCCTGCATCACACCATACTTGTAAAGCTCAAAAAGATAACGGATATAAAAAATAAAAATACTCCCAGCAGAATGTTATTAGCTCTTTGAGGGCCGGGACAGCTAAGTGGCATAGTGGATGGAGTGCTAGATAGAATGGATAGAGGGCCTGGAAGACCTGAGTTCAAATTCAGCCTTAAGGCACTTCCTAGTTGTATGACCCTAAGCAAGTCACTTAACCTATGTCCTGTCTCAGTTTCCTCAACTGTAAAATGGGGATAGCACCTACCTCCCAGAGCTGTTGAGAGGATCACATGAAATAGTGCTTAGCACAGTGCCTAGCACATAGTGGAACTTAAAAAATGCTTGTTCCTTTCCCATGTTTGATTCTACATCCTAGTCCTCGGCACATACTAGATGCCTATTTCATGCTTGTTGAATTGATTCTAGGGGGTTCTGTGCAGAAGAAAATTCTATACAGGGAAAGATGGAGTCTTTAAGTAGGAGACTGAGGAGGGTCCTTGTGGAAGAAGTTTGGGGAATTCTGTGGGGAAGAGGAAGATTCTAGGGGGTTCTTGGGAAAATAGGATTCTGGGGGTGGGGAAAGGAAAGGAAGTTTAGCTATGTGGATGCCATAAGAAGAGGATTCAGACAGCTTTGTGGAGGGGAGAATTTTTTATCTGTATGTGGGGGGAAGAACATGGTGGGTCATGGGATCTGTGGAGAGATTTTGTGGGTAAAGGCAGTGGAAAAGGAAGAGAGTGAAGGGATCAAGAAAAACCTGAGGAAATTGTTAATTTCTGGGGAAGATTTTGGGAATTGGTGGGGGGCGGGGAGTAGACGCTGGGGGATTGTAAAGGATTGGGGATTCTGGGATTTCTTTGTAGGGGGGGAGAGGAGAAGATGTTGGGAGGATGGAAGATTCTGGGATTTCCCCGAGGAAGGGGGGAGGGAAGATGCCTGGGATTGTGAAGGACATAAGATTCTGGGAGTCTGAAATGAGGAGGATGATTCTGTGGGTTTGGAGGCAGGAGAAAGATTCCAAAGGGTACAAGCGGAAAGTATTCGAGGGGTGGGTAGGGGAGGATTCTCTGGCTCCTAGCTATGGGGGGTAAGGGTAAGGGTAAGGCCCCCCGGGCTCTCACTGGGCGCGGCTCTTCAGGTGATCCGAGTCTCTGACTCCGGCGTCTCTCCCTCTTAGCTACAGAGACGCCGGAGCCCGAGCCCTAGAGGAGCCAGAGCCCTAGAGGCTGAAACCCCAGGTGGCGCCACGAGTTCCTACTCAAACCTCACTAGCACTGAGGACTCGCCTCTTGCCCTGCCCCTCCTTCACCTGTGTTATGGGGCTCTGCCTACTGCCTAATCCCACCCTGCTGAGGCCCCGCCTCCTGTTCCGCCCCTTCAGTTCTAGCACTAAGGAGGCTCCGCCCTCCCTTGCCTCAGAGCTTAAGAAAAAAACCACAGAGAAGGTCCCGCCCATTGCCCAATCCCAGGTCCAGCTATGTTAGGACCGCCCCTTATAGGCTCCACCTATTTACTCTCCGCCCTCAATATGCCTTTCCCCTTTTGGAGGCTCCGCCTCTTTCTAGTTCTGGCTTAGAAGGCCCAACCCCGTCAGGTTCCGCCCTTTTACAGCCTCACTCTATGCTCCGCCCAGCATCTCACAGGCCCCGCCCCCAACCAGGCCCACCCCATTCCATTCCTTAGTCCCTCGGGCAGGCTGGTCCAATCTTCTAGCCCCTCCTCTCTCCTTAACACCCAGTCTGAGGTGTGAACCTGGAGGGCTGGGCCGGAAGTGGGGCTAAGGTGTCTCTCGTCAGGACTTAATTCCTTTTCCAAACAGAACCCTTCCCTCTCTCCTCGTTCAGCTCAGCCATTGTCACCCGTGCACACATCCCGCCCCCACACGCCGGCCGTTGCCAGGGGATGCCCGCGGTCTCCCGGGGCGCTCGCTTGAGTTCGGGGTCTGGCCAATGGGGAGGCGAGCTGCACCTCATGATGTCAAGAGCGTAAGACGCAAGGCGGTACCTGAGCGAGGTGACGTTGGGGGGCGGCCTCCCTCCGCCCCGAGGGGCGGGGCGCAGGCGGAGGCGACCGGACAACTATGGCGGCGGCCTGAGAGCGCGGGCGGCGGCGGCTGCTACGGAGTCCGCACGGGGTCAGCGACGGCGCGAGAGTGGAGTGGTGAGGTCCGGCCCGTGGGATGGGGCACCTGGTGACGGCTTGGGAGGGGGAGGCCCCGTGAGGGGGCTTGAGTGTGTGAAGCACTCCCAGAGGGGGAGCCGAATGTGTTAGATTCCGGATGGGGGGGGGGTTGTCTGTGTGTGTAAGGCCCAAAGGGGAGGGCTTCTGCACACATGCACACACACACACATATACACATATACACATCTGCATCTTGGTGAGACAGTTGTGATGAACACGTGACAGGTGGGGGAAAAATTGGGGCCTGGGAACACATGACAGGTGGGGTGAACATGGGGGGACATACATGACAGGTGGAGTGAACATGGGGGACATACATGACAGGTGATAATGATTTGGACAGGACATATGTAAGGAGTGACTAGACCTTGAAGACTGACTGTTCACAACGTTGATGAAGGGTGATATAGAAATGTTACATAGAATATGAAGAAATGTGATCCTGGGCAGAAAAATGTGGACCAGATTCATATCACCTGGAAGGGGGTGGTGATGTCTTATTGGTTTACTTTCTCGTATTATGCAGTCACCTTTAATGAGACTCTTACGCCAAGACCCCTAAAACCGTTTAGATCATGTGTCCTGTGAAATCTTTGTAGTCCCTTTGTAACCCATACACCTTTTTTCTTTTCCTTGGTTCTAGACTGGGCTAAGATGGTTTTAAAAGATCTTTTCTCATTCCTTAGGAAAGTAGGGTAAAATAACAAAGCAACCCTCACAGCCCCAAATTTGTCATGTTAAATAGAGCATGTAAAGTTTATTCTAAGATATCTCTAATCTGGCTGTAGAGGCCAGTACAACTTTGCAGTTAAATAAACCTCCTAGCTTCTGACTAGGACTGGACTTCACATGTGGCCAGTCTCCATCCATCCCTGGAGCAAACCCTGTGGGCCTTTGTCCAAGTTTACCTAGAACCCAGCTCCTGTTTTTTTTTTTCCCTTTGGAATTGTGCTCTTCACATTCTCCTCCCATCCCTACCCCCTTTCCCCTTGCTCAAAGGAACTTTTGTTCCTTTGGAGCCATAAGTTGTTTTTTGAACTTATGGATATGGGGAAGGGGTGGGCATTAAGACTCTAGGACATGTATGAATAATCAGTACTTGCCAGCAGTTTTCCATATTAGCTTGACTCTACCTAAATTGCTTTATTGCCTCAGTTCCGGTATTTCCCCATTCTCTGGGAAAATGTCAGATGTACAAGTATGTGATAGGCATTAGTAAATAATAATTTCTTAGAGAATCCCTACCAGAAGTATAGGAAAGAAGCTTTTCTTCACCAAGGCAATATGAGAACATGGTATATTCAACATGGGTGAAAGTGAGGAAGGTAGAAAGCCTATTAGATGACCTGCTAGTGGTGGAGTAAGTACAGAATGATGATAATGTCCTGGTGAAGGCAAGGTCATGTTGCAGGTTTGTGAGGAGACTCTATGGGACTAAGTTATGTAGTTGTATCAGATCTTTCTGTATATTAGCCATTGATTGTAGCGTGGTTAAATTTTTGTTATTTCAATAATCTTTATTGTTACAGGTTTCAGTAAGGCTCTAGCTGAGAGAAAAGACATTCATAGAAACTCAAGAGCTAGGAGGGAGCTTAGAGGAGCCTCTAGTTCACTCACATCTCTCTCCCCTTCCCTGCCATTTTGTAGATGAGGAAACAGAGACCGGAGAAGTGAGATGACTTACATAAGGCTACACAGGTAGCAAATATTCTAACCCAGGTACTCTCAGTTCAAAATCAATCAGTAAACAACACATGGAGAAGCCAGATATAATATTTTAAATATAAGGAATGAATGCAGTAGATAATTATTCTAGGGATGTTCAGGGAAGTTTCCTTGGAGGAAGTACCTTGGAAGGTGCTCCTGAAGTGGCTGCTGGATACTTACCTTTCTGAGTGTTGTAGAGAGGATCCCTGCTGAAGGCAAAGTTTGGACTAGGTTACCTCTGTGAGGTCTTTTGACTGAGAATCCACGAGAAAAGTGAATTTTGAGCCAGGACTTGAAGGATATGGTAGACATGGATTGTCAGAGAGGAGGATCAGGAAGGAGTTTGTTGAGGGAGGAGATTGAGGGGGAGGAAGGGTGGGACCAAAGTAGATCCCAGACATGGGGGAGTTCTCTCATAACCTTATAGGTTGTGAAAGCTGGAATCTTAGTACGGAGAATGTTAGTGAATGGGGCGACAGGACTCTTCTTTTGAAGTATTTGAAGACCTTTCTTGTGGAAAAGAGATTAGACTTATTCTGTTTGACTCCGGAGGACAGAACTAGAAGCAATGGGTAGAAGTGGCAGAGAGGAAGATCTCAACTCAATTGAGGAAAACCTTCCTAATAATTAGAACTGTCAAAAAGTGGAATGGGCTGCCTGAGGGAGCATATAGCCTAATTGGGGCAACTATACACCTACAAAAAAAACAATAATTAGCAATATTAGAGAGTATATATCTACTGAATGAGTGGGATATAGAATGTAGGGTTATAGTGGTTCAAAGAGTGAGAGATCAGTGAGAGCTGTGCTGAGCAGGCACTTCTTCTGGGGTAAAGTTGGAATTGATCTGGTATTTAGAGAGGTTAAGAGAAAGAAGAAGGGTGCTGAAGGCTGGATGCATAGAGTGAACTGAGGTGTTGAAGAAGGAAGAGCCAAAGTATATTAGGGGGACAGTGACACTAGAACAAAGGTTGTATGTAAGGGTGTAGTAGGAAATAAAATTGAATACCTGGGATGTGGTCAGATTATGGAAGGCTTTGGATGTCTGGCTATGGAGTTTGTGCTTTACCCAGGAAAGAATAGAACGAACAGGGTAAAAAGGAATTGCAGAGTGAGATAGGTGAGAAAAAGCAGTGCTCAATTTCAGTTTTTAAGTGGTAAAGGAAGATCTCACACAGGATCATTTGAGATTTTGTTTTGTTTGTGTCCACCACTGTGATTGTGTCATTGAAATGAATGGTCCTTTTCTAGCCGCAATTTGTTACATTCCTGACTGAACCCCTTATTGAAGTAGTACTACCTTTCTCCTCCTAGGCATCTGATCTCAAAACCTCAGAATCATCTTTGACTCTTTCCCCTTATTCTCATCCAGTTTTTTGGCTGGTCCTATCTTATTAAAAAAATTACCTAAATTGAATAAGATTAAGTTTATAGGAACAAATATCAATTTCTACAAATCACCTGCAAGAAGTACAGGATAGGGGAGTGAGTCAATAAACATTATTAATCACATTATTATGTGCCAGGCATTGTACTGAGTGCTGGGGATACAAAGAAAAGTAAAAGATAGTCAGTCCCTGCCTTCTTGGAAGGTGGGAATTTAGCTGGGACTTGAAAGAAGCCTGGGAAAGAGGCTGGGAGGTGGAATTTGAGGAGGGAGAGCATTCCATGCATGGGTGACAGCCAATGAAAATGCTTGGAGTCAGGAGGTATGATAGGTAGCAGTACCTTGGGAAGTAATATTACTTAATTGAAGTCTTAAGGTAGAGGGGAGGGGAAGAAGTATTTATTAAATACCTACTCTGTACCAGGTATTGTATTGAAGGGTCTACAAATATTATATTATTTGATCCTCACAGGCAGGGGTTATTATAATCCTTATTTTATAGTTGAGGAAATTGAGGCAGACAGGGCTTAATTGACTTGTCTAGGGTCACACAGCTAGTGTCTGAGGCCAGATTTGAATTCAAGTCTTCTTGACTCTAGGCCCAGTGCTGTAGATGACCACATGTTTGGGATGTTATAAGCAGGGTTCTTTACAAGGTTGGTCTTAAGATTGCTTTTGAAATCTCCAATTGGTAGATTCTCTGATTTCTTAAATTACCTTAGGATCTCATATGTTCCCTGTCATAGGTGCTACAAAAGAGATTCCTTTTCAGGTTTGAATTGTAATAAATGATCTCTAAGATGCTTCTAACTCAGAGATTTCTTGATTTTGTGATACAATCTGACTTAAATAATATTTGGATGGGGATTCATAAGGTGTACATAACAGGTAGGGATTATGGTATATGAATTGTGGATAGGGTGGGTGTTGCTATGTGTGAGCATGATGTCTGTGAATTTCTTTATGTGTGGTCATTCAAGGGCTCTTTGAGAGCTAGGTGAATGGATTCCTGTCCTTGCTGTTCTCTACAGAGGAGACTTCAGCTCATTTCTGCTATAGGGGATTTTGTTGGGTGTTGTGGTGGGGGGTGTGTGTCTAATTCATAGGCAGTTGTAGGAAGATGAACTTCCTTGACAAATGCTCTTGGAGGAATGGGAATTAGTTCTGCTGAAGACCTCCTATCTAGGTGGGGTGAGGCCCACACCCAGAGCAAAGGTTGATGGCTGAGACTGGGCCACACCCTCCTACCCCAGTGTTAAGGGGTAGAATTCAGTGGTCAGGTTGGCATTTTGGCTACTCAGTGCCTGTGTGACTTTTGTTGGCACTTCTTGGCTAAGTGCCTGGTTTCGGGTTACTGGCCATTTGTTATACCTTCTTTCCTGCCTTTTTGGGCCCAGGGTCCTGTGGTACTGAACTCTTTTCTTCTACTCCTAAGACATTTCTCAGACGGTATGTTTCTGCTTGATTCTTCTCTGGCATTGAACTAGTCTAGTATATGTAGGACGGGGCACTGCTATCTTGTGCTTAGACAGTGGTCAGGGAGAGGAGAGAAGGTTAAGAATTTCAGGCCTTGCTCTACCTTGGCGTAGGCACTGCCTTCTTCCTCCCTATAGATTAACTGGGGAGTAGGATACCTAGTGAGCATTATTACAACAGTGAATTGTGAATATGCGTACACGGTTAGCTGGACCTAGACTATCCTAGATAAAGAGAACTTTGAAGGTTTTTCTCCAGAGTCTTCTCTGGGAAGAGCAGGAGAGGCTTGTTTACCAAGTGGACTACGTAGAGCCTACTCCTAGATCCTGGTTGCTATGGAGTTCCCTAGGGAGATGGAATGGGGGTGGTGGTGATGGAGGCTTATTGGAGAGGCCTAGCCTTGGCCGGGATAGCAGGCACCTCCCTGAGGTCCTCTTGCCACTGGTCCAGGCCCATGCATGACCCTCATTCCTCCTCATACTTTGTGTAATTCTGGACTATGTGGGTGGCTGTTGTATATAACTGATGGTGACTTTTAAGTGACTTTGATACTCTGGGGGAGTGTGTGTGTGTGTGTGTGTGTGTGTGTGTGTGTGTGTGTATATGTGCGCGCGTGCTTGCGCACGCTCTTCAGCTTTTGGTGGGAGGAGGGGTGCACATTTTCCCTTTCCATAGTAGCCATCCTGAGCCTCTTCTGAATGTTATGTATTCCTGAAGAGAGAGTATGTGTTAGTATGTGTTTATTCTGTATAAATGTGTGTTTATGTGGCAGGGTAAAAGCGTTAGCCTCCATTCAGGCAGCAGACATAAAGAAAATCAGGAAGACAAATAGTCTCTCTGTACTCAACCACACTGGGATGGGGAGGTAGGTAGGTGTTGAGAAACTCAGTTCTAAGAAAACTTAGGATATGGATGCCTACCCCTATACCATTTTGCTAATGTGCCCTCCTTCAACTGGAATGCCAGATTCTCTCTAAACTTTGCCTCAGGTTCTTAACTCTGACTGGCCTATGTTGTACTTGTCTCAGCTTTTACTTCCATTTTATCCCTACAGTCTGATGTATGCCCCTGCCACCATGGAGGATTGTGGATCTCTCCAAACTGGATGAAGCGAGTGGGAGTCACAAGTGGAGGGAGCCCTCAGTTGGCGAGCCCCAGGAGTGTGGTCCCTGGGACTCCAGCCAGCCCACCCTTCCACCCCATGGAGAAGATGAGTTGGCTGAGCAAACTGGCCCCTCGGGGCCCTGGACACCGTGCTCCTCGAACTACCAGTTTACAAGCTCCTGTTACTGCTGATCCAGAGACTTGCCTCATGGTCTTCAAGAACCATTGGTCTCAGGTAGGACCCCACTTGCTCGTCTGCCTTTGTGCAAAGTCCTTCTGGCCTGCTTCTGCTCAGTGACCCTATTCCAGTCCTTACCTTTCTCAGTACGCACCGAGTATCATTTTTCCCTAGTTTTCCTCCTTGAACCACTCCCTCTGCCTGTATTGTGCCCTTCCTTAGTGAGTCCCTCCCTAAATGTGGGGTTAGGGAGCCAAAGAAGACATGAGTGTTTATCTGTGGTAAAGGTGGGGAAAAAGGGAGGCTGGTTTTGGTTTCTAAGATTGTACCTTGTTCCTGTATAGGTAGATGAAGAGGGTATCATGAGGTAGTGCCTGCAGGATGAGTTCCTGAGAAGATCCTAGGAACTGCACTCGTAATTCTCCAATTGGCTCTTCTGTGTTTTGCAGGTAGTCAGGATCCTGGAGCGAAGGGCCCCACAAGCAGCCCCTGGGGGGTCAGATGACCTCAGTGCTGTGCACAATCACATGTACCAGATGTTGACGCTGCTGGTGGAAGACCATGCGACCCCTTCGGCTCCCACAGCCCCAGGCCCCCTTCTGGAGTTTGCCCTTCATGAGGACCTTCTAGCAAGGGTGCTGGCCTGGCAGCTGCAGTGGGATGGGCCTGGGGATGGGCTAGGGGCCGAGGAAAGGCGGGCTGAGCAGCTGAAGCTGTTCGAAATGCTGGTGAGTGAGGCCCGGCAGCCACTACTGCATCACCAGCCAGTTCGAGAGGCCTTGCTGACCTTGCTGGAAGCTTGTGGTCCTCCCACTAGTCCTGCACTGGATGCTGGCCTTGTGCTCCTGCTCAGCCAGTTGTGTGTGTGTGTGGCTCGGGAGCCTGCACTACTTGAGCTCTTCTTACAGCCTCCTCCTGAGCCAGGAGCTGCACCTCGCCTGCTACTCTTCTCCCGCCTCGTTCCTTTTGTGCACCGTGAAGGGACGCTGGGTCAGCAAGCCCGAGATGCTCTGCTGTTACTCATGGCGCTGTCGGCTGGCAGCCCCACCGTGGGCCAATACATCGCTGACCACTCCTACTTCTGCCCGGTCAGACCCCTCTTCCCCCACAGTGGGTGAGGGGAGGGACTTAATATGTGATGGCCCAGTTCCAGGGGTAGTAGAAAAGGCAAGGGTGAACCCGGGTCCTGTTCCTCCCTTTCTCCTTCATGTTCCACCTTAGACATCTCCCAGGGAGCTAGCCACCTACATCAGGGAAGGCTTTGGTGGGGTATGAATCATCTGGTAACCAGGTTGTCCCCCCATTTACTATGGCCCCAGGTGCTGGCTACAGGACTGAGTGCTCTGTACTCATCTTTACCCCGAAAGATAGAGGTTCGGGGGGATGACTGGCACTGCCTGAGGCGGGAAGACTGGCTGGGTGTGCCAGCCCTTGCACTCTTTATGAGCTCCCTGGAGTTCTGCAATGCTGTCATTCAGGTAAGGGGAGTCAAGAAGCAGCAGGGGGATGGGGGACAGTGGGAAACTTGCCTAAAGTTCTATATCTCAGTTATCCAAGTGGAAGGGACTTTATTAGGGACGTTTGTGTGTGAATGTGTACTTTAGGATGGTAGGGAGGGTTTGCAGTGCTTTCTGGGAGCCTGTGTGTGTGTGTGTGTGTGTGTGTGTGTGTGTGTGTGTGTGTGTGGTGTCTCTGCAGGTCTCTATAATCCCTTTACTTGTCAGTGTCCTGGGGCCAGGTTGCTTGCTCCCTCACCATCAATCCCCTGCAGGTGGCTCACCCAATGGTTCAGAAGCAGCTGGTCGATTACATTCACAATGGGTTCCTGGTACCTGTTATGGGCCCCGCCTTGCACAAGGTGTGGAGCAGGACAGGAGGTGGGGACTGGTTGGGAGTGGGGTTGGGTATGTCTTTAAGTCTTATCCTGACTCCCCTGGCCCTGGGGATGGTGGTGGTGGAAGATTATCCTCTTTCCTCCTCCCTTTTCTCCTCCCTATCCCAATACACACACTCTCCTCCCATCTTCCCCTAGTATTCACTCTGGGGAATAGTTGTCAACTTGGAATCTGTGTGTTTTGGGGGGTCCTGATTCCCATCCCCTCCCCCTCTCCCCCCACCCCTCCCCCAGAGCTCTGTGGAGGAGATGATTGCCAGCACAGCGTACCTGGAGCTATTCCTTCGCAGCGTATCCGAACCTGCCCTACTCCGAACCTTCCTGCGCTTCCTGCTGCTCCACCGGCATGATGCTCACACCATCCTTGACACCCTCGTCTCACGAATCAGCAGTAACTCACGGGTACAACTCCTGTCCTTGATCATGGCTACTGCCCCTAGGTCAGGGTGCTTCTTGATTTTTGTCTGCTCCCATATCCTTACTGCTGTCCTTTGACCCTCCTTGCATCATCTCATGTCTGAACAAGGTTCCTATCTTACTTGGGCCTTAGATTTTCCACTTTGGCTTCATGCCTGCACAGATTTTCCAAATGCCTCTGCTTGTTACTGTCCTCAGGAGATAATTATCCTCTCCACTTTTTTTCCTCATCCCGAGAAGATTCTATAGTCTCTAAGGTATCTACTGGATCTTCTGTCCTCATTTGTCTTATGCATGCTCAATAGCCACTTCTAATGGCAATGACTGAGATGAATTCAAGTTTTCTTACCTTTTGTGATAAGTGATACCTCATTTAGGCTCAGTCTCCCGAATGGCTTTTTGGTCCAAGGGGTAGCTATCAGGCTACTTTTAGTTTTCCATGTTTGTTAACAAACGCCCACGGAACATCTACTGTTATCAGGCTTTGTGTGGGATATGAAGTCGATTAAGTTACTGGGTCTGCTCTTTCAGAAATAATAACCTAGGAGGGGAAATAGTTTTGCAAAGCAGTGATGTTAGGAGGGAGGAGGCTAACACTTAAGCTAGACCCTGGGACTAATATTTTCTTTTCTCTAGGGAACCATGCCATACAGCTGATGGGAGTGAGGTTGAACTCTGCTTTTCTTGTTGCTAACAATTTATATTTGACCTCTGGGGTCCCAAGATACCTTTATACTATCTTTGCCTGGTTATGGACAGCAGTCCTTCCTCTTAAGTCACCTGAGATAAGAGTTTAGATGTTGGAGACAAGCATGCAACACGCTTCCTGTGGAGGAAGCATCTCAAGAGCAGGCCTGCTACCACTTTACTTCCTTCCTTGAAGCAGATACAGTGGGTTTTTTTTTAAAATTATTAATTTGTTTCATCTATGATTTTGTTAGTGTTGGGTACTCCTTCCATAAACACAAATTATAGTCTTTCTTTACCTCAATAGACAGCTTTTACTAGTTGTGGCCAAAAATTTTATCCTACTTTGGTCTACCTGGTGATCAGCCTTTCTAAACTTTGTTAGTTTGATTCTAGTATAAAAGATGTAGGGCTCCTCATCAGGCCCCTGTTATAATAACTCACATTCCATGGTCCTTTATCTTTTATAAAATGCTTTCCTCATAATACGCTGGAGAGGTCGGGAGTGCTGTCATCTCCTTTACAGATGAGTAACCTGAGGTTAAACTTTCTTATAGCCATATGGCCACTAATAGCTGCTGTTGGTTTTAATAACAGTTGATATTTATATGGGATTGTAAGGTTTATAAAGAGCTTTCCCAATTTTCCAGCTTTCATGTGAACCTCACAACTCTGAGGTTTTGGTACTGAATTCCTCATAGATAAGGAAACTGAGGTTCAAAAAAGCTGATAATTTTTATGCTGCTAGGAAGTGGTAGAGCCAGGCCTTAACCTCCTGCTCTCAAAGTCCAGTGCTGATTGGCTCTAGAAGGTGGTCTTCCCAAGAGCACCTTAGAATTCTCTCTCCAAGATCTGTTACTTGACAATGTGTGTTCTCATTTTTTTCTGATTTAACTTCTTTCCCTTAAAGCTGGAAGGAATCATGGAGTTCTTCTAATCCAATTGTCTCATTTTTATGAATAAGGAAACCTGGACCAAGGCTGGTCAAATGGCTTGTCTTAGGTCCAGAAGTAGTAAATGACCCTCAAGGCTGAAATTTGAACCAAGTCTTCTGACCTCAGAGCTGATGATCTTTCTCCTGCTTCACACTTTGGAAAACTTCTAACCTCTGCTGTTGAGCTAAGGGGAAGAACAGTAATTTTAGGTAAGGCATTGCGATTTGAGTGTCTAGAGGAAGGCAGTGAGGATGGTGAAAGAGCTCAGTTTCATGCCCTACGAGGATCGGTGGAAGGAGCTGGGGATTGCCTGGAGAAGCAAAGATTTAAGAGTGGCATGGTACTTTCTTCATGTATGTGCTAGGCTCTCGTGTAGAAGGGAGATTGGGCTTCTCCTTGCAAGAATAATGAGGGGAAATTACAGAGGGAGGCTTCATTTGGAAAATTTTGCCTTATACCAAACAATTAAAATTTTCCTAAAGTGGAATGACCTGCCTCAAGAGGTCTTCAAATGAAGGCTGGCTGACTAGTTGTTGGGTCTCTTGTAGAGAGGATTCTCATTCAGGGGCCTATTGGATTAGCTGACCTCAGAGGTCTCTTGCAGCTCTGAGATTCTGTGTCCATACCTAGGCAGAGAGAATCTGGGGGAATCGAGGAACCTCAGAAGCCAAAGAGAAATTGGCTGCTGTGGCTGCAGAATCTCTCTTGCCTCCACAGATTTTGGGAGTGGGGATTCTTCAGGAGTAAAGAAAATATTAGGCAGTGCTGAGCCTTGTGCTCATCTGTAAAGGAACTATGTCTTCCTCCACCCCTAGGTCAGTGCTTCTTAAGGACATATGCACACATAATTATACTTCATGGCACAGCCTTTCCATTCCTGTGTGTCCTGCCCTGCCACCCTTCCCTGCTCCCCGTCTGTCAAAATTCTTAGGGCTTCCTAGTTTCTGCTCTCCAGCCTCCTTTTCCTGTCTCTCTGCTTTGTACTTTTCCTGATTGATACCTCTAGAAAGGGGGTTCTTAACCTATGGTCCATAAACCTCCCCCTACTCCTCCACCTCCACCACAAAGGGTCCGTGGATAGATGTTAGGGAATCCATGAACTTGAAAAGTAAAAAAAATACCTCTTAATTTTCACTAACCTCGAATTGAAATTTAGCATTTCCTTCAATTATGAATTATGAAGTACACATATTATGGTGAGGAAGGGTCCATTGGCTTTACGCGATAGTCACAAAAGGTTAAGCAGTCATGCTGTAATGCAAGCGAGATGACTCAGAGTCTCTCCTTGTGTGAAGCTCCTCCCACTTCCTAGGGCAAACCTTCCTGGTTACCTAATCTCTCCATAGAGAGATATTCAGCTACATTGTGTCACTGAATAGTTTGACACACTTAGTTACAGAGTTTAAGAATAGTCTTTGCAGATATTCAGGGACACAGTTCACCATTCTACAGACGAGCCATGTGCATGGCCTGTATGAAGCACTGTGCTTCTTCACAATTTAGGTAAGGATCAGGATCTATATCTGGAAGGAAGCTTAGAGGTCATTCAGCCCAGCCCTCTGAGATGAGGAAGCTGAGGCCTAGAAAGGATAATGATTTGCTCACGGTTGCTGTGGTAGTCAATGGCAAAGTTAGGATTTGAACTTAGGTCCCACAACTAACTCTAAGCTTCACATTCTTTCTGCTGTGCTCTATTGCCACCCTCCTCATGAGAACACGTAGTCTAGTAAGGGCCTGAGACACTACCAGATAACTAGGATATCCAGTGTTACCAAGCGAGGGCTGTCGAGTGGGGTCCAAGAGAGAAGGTCATTGTCAGCTTGGGGTGAGGAAGGGCTTTGTGGAGGAGGGGGCGTTTGAACTGGGTTTTGAAGGATTGATCAGAACTCACCAGAGTAAGAGGAGGGAAGAGAGGAGATTCTAGACATAGGGAACAGTTGAATGGAGGCACTCATGGGAGGCTAGAGAGTGGTCCATTTTATGATGAAGTTCAGAGTGTATGGAGGGGGCTGTGGATGGGAAAAGATCAGAATGGTGGTAGGAGTACAAAATTGTGAAGAGCCTTCAATGCCAGCAAGAGAGAGTCATTTTAACTTTGCTCAGCAGGCAGTAGGGAGCCACTATTGATTTTTGAGGAAAGGACTGAGCAGATAGATTACTGTGGCAGTTTGTGAAAATATGTTGGTGTGGGAAGACCCATTAAGGTGCTATTCCAGTAGGTTAGAGAGAAATGATAATGAAAGCTTGTATTGGAATTGAGAGTGGAACTAGAGAGAACTAGAGAGTATTTTTTGCAGATATCCAATTTCTTACATCACAGCTAATGAGACAAAAATTCAAACCGATAAGCAGATCACTCTTTGGAATGAAGGAAAGGGTCTTTCATCCTTGAACCTGTGGTCCCTGCTGCCTTTCTCTACCCTGATCTGTGTGGACTGTCTCCTTGTGCTCTGCCAAGTATGCATGCAAATTATCCCTTGAAAGATTACTAGACTTTTATAGTCAGACCACCTGGGTTCAAATCTTGGCTCCAGCATTTGCAAGCTATGTGACCTTGGGTAGTTACTTAACTTCATCTGTAAGATAAGGATGGCAATACTTACCAGTATCATGGGGCTCTTGTAGGGAAAGCATTTGTAAATTCTAAAGTGCTGTAGGGATGTGAGTTGTTATTTTAGCTGATGGGAGGGGAGGGATAGTTGTAGGTGATTATTCCTTTCCCCATGTCAACATGATGGTCTCTGCCTGAAAGGTGGTGGAGAGCAGCAGGGAGTGAGAACTTTATGCAGATAGCCTCTTCCTCCTAGCTCTCTACTGTTGCCCTGAGCCTGGGGACTGGTGAGAGGTGGGGACCCTTAAGTAAGTGACCCCTTCCTTTCCCTTCAGCTCTGCATGGTCTCCCTGAGCCTCTTCAGGACCCTTCTGAACCTCAACTGTGAAGATGTGGTGCTGCAGTTGGTGCTTAGGTACTGCTAGTAGGAGCATAGCTAACCCCCTTGGGAGTGCCCTGTGTATCCTCAAGAGGGATTGGTGAAGGGAGGGCACTGTTTCAGAGACCTCAGTAGGCTCAGTTGTGCATTTTCCCTAGCTGGGTGTGAGAGGGTTATGAGAGAGGGTTCCAACATAATTCTCTTCCTGACATCAGCCACCTACCCCTCACCCTTCCCCTATCCATGGCTCCCTCTCTGCCTTCCCTGATTCCCATATTTTTTGATTCCCTGGGCCCTAACCCCACATCCTTGCTGAGCCTTAGTTTTTGTGTCTCCAGACTCCTTGTCCCTCAAGTATCTGACCCCAAGCTGCTGCTTCTCTCAGGTATCTGGTCCCGTGTAACCATGTCATGTTGAGCCAGAAGCGAGCTGTACGTGACCTGGACCTGTATGGGCGAGCAGCGGACAAGTTCCTGTCCTTGATCCCTCGCTGTTGCCGGCATCGTGCCCCAAGTCCACCCCACGTGGAGCAGACTTCTTGGGCTCGAGGTGGGGATAGCCAGTGGCAAATATGGACTGGCTTCCTGGGAGGAAGCTTGTAATGGAGTATCTAATTCCACGTAGAAAGTCTAGGGTGGAAAGGATTTGGGCCAGCCTCTGCCTCTGAATAGAGCTCTCCCTAGCTTCTAATCCCATTTTAGCTCCATCTTCCTCCTGTCCCTTCCCAGCCCCCTCCTTGTTATTTTTGGCCTATACCACTCCATCAGCTTCTCCATCCTTTTTCCCATTTGGAACCTAGGGAATGGTGGGTGGGGCTAGAATGATGATTTGAAAGATGAAGGGAGGTGGAAGAAGATTCACTTATCCTGAACTGTTCTGATATCCCTATCTGTCTTTCTATCTCCCATATTCCCTCATCCTGACTTTTCCTCCTCTTCCTTGCCTTGACCTCTCCCATGATCAACTTTCCCCTATTCCACAGTGATTCCTGTGATGACCGTTATTTTCCTCATTTGTGTCTACAGGCCCTGGCAGCCCCAATTTAGATTCCTCATCAGTGGTGACAGTAACCCGTCCCTCCACACCATCTCGCCTTGCTCTTTTCCTTCGGCAGCAGAGCCTGGGTGGCACTGAGCCCCCTAGCCCCGCTCCTCGCTCTCCCAGCCTGGCCCCATCACCGGCCTCCAGCCCTGGCCACCGGCCTGGCCCTGTGGAGGAGCCAGGCGAGCTGGAAGACAACTACCTAGAGTATCTTCGGGAGGCTCGGCACTGCGTGGACCATTGTGTTCATGCCTGCCGTTCCTGGTCTGCCCCCTATGATGGGGAGCAGCCCCCGGCTGACCCTAGCCCTGTGGACCCTGGCTCTGGCCCCACTGGCCCTCGGACTAAGAAACGGAGCCTACAGCCAGAGGAAGAGGATGGGGAGGATGGGGGTGAGGGGGAGGAAGAAGAGCTAGGAGATGGGGGTCATGTGGGGGCACGGATGTTGTCTTTGGGGGAGGGAGAGGGCTCTGGTTTGCTGACCTCCCTCCAGGTCAATGGAGCTCTAGGGCCTTGGCCTGAGGGAGCCAAGAAAGTGCGTCGGGGGCCAGGTGAGGGGGTTGGGGAACAGAAGGGGGCAATTGGAGGGTTGGTTGGGCTAGAGGGCTTTGGGAGGGAACTAAGAGAGTTGGAAGTGGCACTGAGTAATGGTGGTGCTGGGCCAGATTCCCGGCACGAATCCCCATTGCTTCCTGAAGAGGAGGAGGCAGCCTACGAGAGCTTCAGTTGCCCACCTGAGCCCCTCGGCCCCCTCCTCAGCAGCCCCCTTCGGATTCCCAGTCAGCTGCCCAGCCAACCCTTCACAGGTGAGTCCTTCCCCCTGGTGTTTTGTGGGTGCCTTTGGGCCGTGTCCCGTGTGTGCTTTTAGTGCTGTTGCCCATTTCTCCCATTTCCATCCTGTGTGGAGGGTTTCCTTGGCCTTGATGTACCTTGGCTTATATTCATACTGGGTTGGATGAGACTTCTTGGCTTACGTCTCATCTGTGTCCAGACCATAGTAATCATAAGACCTCACATTTATCTAGGGATTCAAGGTTTACCAAGTACTTTACATGTATCATCTCATTTGTTCCTCATAACAACCCGAGAAAGTAGTTGCTATTCTTAGCCCCACTTTATTAGTGATGGAACTGAGACTCCAGCAAGTTAAGGGATTTGCTGCTTGGGGTCACACAGATAGCAAGGATTGAAGGTGGGATTCAAACCAAGGCCTTCCTGATTCCTAGTCCAGAGCTCTATTGATTCTGACACTTGGCACATGTCGTTTCTGTGTGTATCCTTTCATGTATATTTACCCTTGCTAATTTCTCATGCTTTCTTTATGCTTTGCTGAGTAAGTCTTCTTGGCTCATGTTTTGCATTCATGCCATGCCATATCATGTCATGTGTGTTCTGGTCATGAGTTTCCCCTTTGCAAATGATCTGTTTTAGCCTTATGTGAACTCTAGCCAATCTTCCTGTATTTGACTCCTTCCAGAATTTATGTCTCTACTCCTAGTGAATGTATGGTCTTCTGTGTTGTTTCAGGTTTACTGATGGCCTTTCACTGTACTGTGATCTTATCCTATTTAGAAGGCATGTAGATGCTGTTTCATTTATGTAAGGCATAGCTATGTCCTATCACTATAGGAATCATATGTGCCATGTCTTGTGTGGGTGGTCTCTGTGTGTGTGTGTCTGTGCTCCAGTATCCATGTGGGAGGCATGTATGTGATGTGTCCTAGATTAGAGCTGAAACTCCATATCCCAGTTGCTGAAGCAGTCCCTTGGTCCTTCAGCTCCAGAATTAACTCTTTTCTCCAGGACCAAAGCGAAGGGTCTGCCACCCTGCCCTTCTGATTAGCTGCCACCTCCAGGAAGTTCCAGCCACTGTATGCTTCCATAGCCATCAACAAATTAATCTCTCCCTCCCCCCGAGTCTGAGTTTTTCTAAGTGTTTCCTGCTACTGAACTAAAGAACATGGGGGAAACAACAAAAAATATATCCTGGAAAAGGCTACCTTAGCTAGTGTAGAGTTGGAGATTGGCCTATTGTCAGTTCTGGGTATAAAGGGGAGAGGACTGTCTGATCCTTTTCAGGTTTCTTTCTTCTCTCCCTTTGTCTCCTGCTCTAGTTACAATTCTAGTTTTTACTGGACTCCAAATTGTTTTCCTCATTGTTTGAATTTTGGTTGGTCTTGGATTCTTAGTTCTGGACAGAGGTGGCCCAAACCAGCATCTCCTTGCCTCTTCCTTGTCTTATGTGAGTCAGGCATTTATTTTCCTTTGGCTTTAGGACTGCTCATTTATTCTGCAGCTTACACTATGCCTTCTTGGTAGTCCTCAGGAGAAAGAACAAAGGTACTTTTTTGTCCATGACCTTGGACATTCTTGTCTTGGCTTTAGTCTCCCCTGATCTTACTTTGTAGTCATCTCCTTCAGTTGCAAATTTTTCTGATTCTTGGCCACAGGAAATGCTATTCTCTTCTGATATCTCCTTGGCCTGAGTCTAGATCTTGTAATTTCCTTAGCACATCCTGTTTCTTCTGTCCTAATTGGTCTGGTGTAATCACACTTAGTAGTCCAGTCTCACTACTACTTCCTTGTCTAGTATAACAAGTTGTGTTGGCATCTTGGTCCAGTTTCCTGGGTGGCTGTGCTGCCTAGAGGGTAATAGCATCCTGTAATCCTCACCTTACCCTTCTTGCCACCCATTTGGTGACAAGACTTAGAGTGCTTGGACTGAAAGGGAACTTAGAGATGATCTAAGATCTCTCACTGGTCAGGGATCCTGCAATTGTTCAGATATGGCCTTTCAGCTCTTTTCCAACTCTTATTCTTTGACTTCTCTTTCCTTCCCCCTTCATTTTACAAATAAGGAAACTTACCTGATGCTTAGTGAGACCCAGAGCTCAAGACCACAGAGCTAGTAAGTGGCAGAGTCAGAACTTGAATCTGGGTTTCTTGAGTCCTTATATGATATTACTTCCTTTCCTAAAGGAAGTAATTACTTTCTTTTCTCCTTTCTGTTCTGAAACCAAGAGCTCTCTTTATTTGGTTCTTTGACTACCTTTGATTCTTCTTTCTTAACTCTCTTCTGTTTCTGTTCTGTGCCCTGATTAATACCTTGAGCTTAATTGACTTAACTGGGCCCTTCTAGGTCTTCTGATTCTTCTCTCTTGGGAAAGCTGATTGATACATCTGAAGCCAAATAATGATTCCCACTGTGAAGATTTGGTAGCCAAGTCAGGAAGACGACTAGCTGGCCAGATTCTATCCCACTTTGTCTGCTGCCTCACTCAACCTTTATAAGCTAGCTCCCCATAGATACTTGGGTGGAGGCTCCTTCCCCTCTCCTTCTGCCACCTGGATGCTTAGGCTGCCAGAATTTTCCAGTTCCTTTGGATTTACCTCATCTTGGCCTGGATGCCTGCTTTTCCCCCAGAGTTAGAGGCAAGGTTTCTCAAAATGATTTTACTAGCACTTCAGGAAAGAGAGCAGAATGCAGCAAACTCATTGGGCTCAGAAGTGCTGAGTTAGAAAGCCTTGGGCTCTTATACCAAGATGTCCTCCATCTAGATATAGAGGCTGCTGCAGTTTCTTGTGGCCAGTGTCCCTGCTTGGGTGCAGTGGAAAAAAGATTGAGTTGGGAGTCAGAAGATCTGGGTATGTGTCCAGTTCTGCCACTTGTGTGATCTTGGGGAAATCATTTGGTATCTCTTGGCACAATTTCCTCATCTGTAAAAGGGGATTGGACTAGATGACCTCTAAGATCCAGCTCTAATTCTCTGACAACCATATCACAGAATCAGTTGGAAGGGATCATAGAATTTAGAGTTTATAGAGACCTTACAGATAAGTGCTTATTGTTTGCCAGGCACTGTTAGGCATTGAGGATACAAATAAAATGACTGAAGCAGTCCCTGTTCTCAAGGAGCTTATGGTGAAATCCAGCTACTTCTTTTTTATAGAAGGCATAACTTGAGGCTAAGAGTGTTTAAGTTCTTTGGCCAAAATTACCCAAGTGCTAAAGGAGCAGAGCTAGGATTCTCACCCAGGTTCTTAAGGCTACAGATGGATTGCTCTTTCCACGAAGCTGGGATGACTTCTAGTTACATGTTCCTGTACAGGAATCCTCTCACTAGCATCCCTAACAAGTAGTGTCCAGTCAAAGGTGTGTGTGTGTGTGTGTGTGTGTGTGTAGTTTCTCAGACTTCCCTGTAAGCTTACAAGGCTGCCCATTTTACTTCTGGCTAGCTCTGATTGTTTGGGAGTTTTTCTTTACACTGAGTGGAAATTCGCCTCTACAACTTGTACCTATTGCTCCAATTTTTACCCTGAGGAGCCAGACAGAACAAGTTAACTTCCTTTTCCATGTGACATCATTTAAGATATATACTTAAAGACAACTTTCACATTCCACTAATAGTAGAGTTACTCTGCTCCCCTGTAGTATATTGTTAACCAATCATTCCCCTCAGTAATACACAGTTCTAGTAAACTTACACAGAAGAGGACATAAGACATCATTAAGGAAAAGGAGAAGTATGGAAAATCTGAGTTTTCTGAAGCTTATGTATGTGCTCTGTCTCATATTAGAAATATGCGCCATAGCCTTGTGAGAGGTGTGTGAAAGCCTTGTGTACCATGTTCCCAGGCCCCTTCATGGCCGTGCTCTTTGCCAAACTGGAGAACATGCTGCAGAACTCACTTTATGTCAACTTCTTGCTGACGGGGCTTGTGGCTCAATTGGCCTGTTATCCCCAGCCCTTACTTCGTTCCTTCCTGCTCAATACCAACATGGTCTTCCAGCCCAGCGTCAAGTCACTACTTCAGGTAAGAGAGGAGAGGCATTCTCCTTAGGAAGAGTGGGATACTCAAAAGTCAGGAGACCCACATTCAAGTCTTGGCTACTACCATTTAACTGACTATGTGCTGTTGAGCACATTGAGTGTCCTCATTAGTGTACATGAGAGAGAGAAATCCTGGGTGGTGGAATGGGATTGTTTAAGAGAGGGCTGTTTGTGTACAGGGGATGAATATTCATGTGTATTGTGTCAAGAGAGGAAAAATAGGGTTAAGGGTAAGGATCTGGGATCATCCAAAGAACCCAGAATTAGGAATGTATGCCAGTTGTAGGGCATGGAGCAGGAATTGGGGAATTTAATGAGCCTGGCCTTTGGGGTCTGGGAACAGTCTGGCATGTGCAAAAGCTGTCATTAAATTCTGCTACACAGGTGCTGGGCTCAGTGAAGAACAAAATTGAGAGCTTTGCAGCCTCCCAGGAGGACTTTCCAGCATTACTCTCCAAAGCCAAGAAGTACCTCATCGCCCGGGGCAAGCTGGATTGGGCTGAGGGTCCTGGGACTGGATCCGTCCCAAGACGCCCAGATACCCTTGGTGAGGTCCTTTCCCCTCAATCCTTTTGAATTCTTTAGACCTCTGATTCAATCTCTCTGACCCCTTCTGGGAGGCTTCTCACCTCCCCCCTCTCCTCCCCATCCCCCTGCCCCCCACCTTTTCCCTTGAAGAAATCTTATTCTGACAGCTGGGTAAAGCCCCAACCTCAAAGTCCCAGTCCATACCTCCTAAGGTGTTACACCCCAGGCCCTGTGCCCTATGAAATTCTTAATTCCTCTGAGCCCTTCATTTGATACCCTTTCCTCTAATCCTTCTGAGTCTCTCAGTGAAGTCCTACCTAGAATTTCTAATCTCAGTGACCCCCTTGGGTTAGTACTCCATCTTCCCAGCACCTCTATCTCCCTTGGTGAGGTCTTGAGCCCCTAATTCCTCCAGTCCTCGTGTTGAGGACTACAACTTCTAAATGATAATAATAATGAAAATAGCTGACATTTATATAGCCCTACTATGTTCTAGGTACTGTGCTAAGTGCTTTACAATGATCTCATCTGATCCTTAACCATGGGATGTAGATGTTATTATTATCCCCCTTTTACAGATGAGGATACTGGAGCAACAGAGGTTGAGCCCAGAGTCACATCAATCATTTCACCATTTGTTAAGGATTGCTGAGTGTGAAGCTCTGTGCTATGCTTTGAGGATACATAGAATTAGAAAATGTAGTTGCTGCCCTCATTTAGCTAATATTCACATAGACAGAAATATCTGTCAGTATCTGATCACTTTGTAATAAGTACTATAGGCCAGCTTGTGCTATTTAAATTTACAGGAAGGAAAGGTGAACAGAGAAAGCTTTAGGGAGTGGATGAAGTTAGAGCTGGACCTTGAAGGATGGGGTAGGATTTGGAGATATGGCAAAGTTGGGCATTCTAGGAGGAGAAAACAATCTCAGCAGAGGTTTGGAGTCAGAAAGACTGGGGAGCTTTCAGGAGACAGGAGACCAGCTGGATGGAAAGGGAGAATTTGGGAAAGTGGAAATGAGGCTGGAAAGTTTTGGAGTAGAGAATTTCTGTAAAAGAGTAGTAGGTGGCCAGTGATAATTGGTGTGTGTGTGAATAGTTGAGACTTTATCCTGTAGTTTATGGGGAGCCATTGAAGATTTTTGGGAAGCAGACTAGTAATGGACATGCTCAAGCTGTGTTTGGGAAAGACTAGTAATCTCTGTTGGGTAGGATTGGAGGGGGAAAGATGGGAGGTAGGCAGATGAGCTAAGAGGCTGCAGGCATAATTCAAGGGTGAGATAATGAGGGCTTGTACTGGAGGCACAGAAGTGAGAGGGAGGTATAAGAGCAAGGATTTAGAGCTGGTAGGGCCTATTAGAGGTGATCTAGTCCAACCTCCCTCTCCCTTTTTATAGATGAGGAAATGAGACCAGAGAAGTTAAGTGATTTGGGCATGGATACATAGGTTGTGTCAGAGCCAGGATTTGAACCCAAGACCTCTGATGCCAAATCAAGTACTCTTTACACCGCACCATGCTAGAGGGAGATGGAGAGAAGTGACAGGACTCAATAGCCCTGGAATTCAGAGATGTTTTGTGAGGCTTTAAGAGTGACTGGTAAATGGTAGTTTTTGAGGAAGCAGTGTCCTAGAGAAGGTGATAAGAGATCATGGAGGGCACAGGTGGACAGGTGAGCCTTGGAAGAGTAGAAGACTCTTCTTTGCAGGAAGGAAGGGTGAGAATGTTGGGGTAGGAAATAGATATGTAAAGATGAGGAGAGACATTGAGGGATCTCATGTCAGTGATCCACGTATTGATTAGAGAAAGTAGATGGCGGGTTTGATTCAGGGGCAGGAATGGATATTGGTTTAGCAGATATGACTGCAGATATGGCTTGCAGAAAAATTGAGTGCTTATAGTGGGACAGTACACTGGAGAGTTAATGGAGAGCAAAGAGTTGTCTACCTCTTTCCCCGTCTATTGGTCTTGAGGGCAACAGGACTTGTGAAAGATTGGGTTGAGGAAGGGGAGGTGGAGCTTAGTCTGCTGGAATTGTGGCAATAGAGAAAGGTGAAAAGTGACCTGGTCCCAGGAAAACACTTTACCTCGACCCACTATCCTCATACTCCCATTCCCTTTCCAGTCCTGGGTATATTCTCAGGGAACCCAGCTTCTGGATGTGTCCTAATTCTGGCTTTCCCTGAGAGTGTATGTGTGGGACTATGACCTCTAGCTCAGCCTTGGCCCCTCCATAATCCCCTCTCTCATTTCTCCTGCTTCCTAGTGAAGGCCCGGAAGCCATCCTTGGGAGAGCTGCTCCTTCGTCATGCACACAGTCCAACACGGTCCCGGCAGGCAGCCCAAGTAGTCCCACAGCTGGGCCGTGAAGGCCCTGGTCCGGCCCTGGGCCTTGGTGGGAGTTTGGGTTCCCATTCAGCTCTGGGGACCTCACCCTTGCCCCTCCGGAGTAGCCCTGCTGAGCGTCAGGGTGAGGCTTTGCGCATCAAGAATGCTGTCTATTGTGCAGTGGTCTTCCCCGAGTTCCTCAAGGAACTGGCGGCCATTTCCCAGGCCCATGCAGTCACCTCGCCCTTTCTTCTGGAGGCCTTTGAAGAAGGGCCCAGGACCCCTGCCAGGCCCAGCCCTGAACCCTAGTCCTTCCTTCTCCATTCCCCTTGCCCAGTGGACAATCAGGAGCCCAGGGAGGGGGGCTGGATATGAGGTGGGCTCCGTTTTTAGATGCCAAGTAGGCAGAAAGATAACTTTTTAATTTATTTGAGACGAATGTTTTATGGAGAACTTGTTGCAATATGTATAAAAGGGAAATGTCTAAGCAGCTCTGATGCCTCTTTTGTGTTTCCCAAGGCTCGTGAATGGGTGGGTAGGGTTGCATGGACATGAAGTCTTGCTTAGGAGTGAGTAGCCTCATTTCTTCTCCCAGGTCCCTAGCCTGAGATTTCAGGCCTGGAAGGGTTAATTAAAGCTAAACCCTGGGCTTCCTGGGGTTCTGGCCCACCCACCCAGCACCCAGAAGGAAGAGGCAGTATTGGTCTGGGGTGGTTTTGGGGAGTAGCAGCTGGTATTTATTGGACACAAGGCTCCTTGCACCAAGCCTTTGGGGCTGAGCCCCTCTCTTCCTGCCTCCCCCTCCCCCTTAGTCATCATTGTCGAATTCCGCTGATAGGCCCTGCAGCAGAGGCAGGGACATGGAGTGCCGGTCCGGGTCCCCTGGGCCCCCGCCCTGGTTCCCTGATGAGGGGTTTCGGGGGCTGAAGAGCCAGTTCTCTGTTGGGGGTGGGGGGGAAATACTGTCACACCTCACCTGACCTGTAATCCCTCAGAACCCATCTATAGGGTCCTCTTGCCCAACTTATGTACCCTATTCAAATGAGATAATACTTGTGAAGTGCTTAGCACAGTGCCTGGCACATAGTAGTTGCTTAATAAAATGCTTATTCCCTTATTCCCTCCCCAATGACCTCATGCCTGGAACCTTACATTATATCCATCTTTTAGATTCTGAACTTAATGCTCCTCTGGCCACCCTGCTATACATGTTCCCCCAAAGCTCTCTCCCTCCCATCCTGGGCCTCATACACTAGTCCTGTTCCTCAAGGTTCCAGGGTCTCTTGTTCTAAAGGGCCTGGGCTCCATTCACACCCTGACCCCTACACCTTTATCCTGTCTCCAAAGATTTGAGGTCCCATAACACAGTCCCGGCATCTTATGCCCTCGACTCTGTGACCTGGCCTGTCCTCTAAGGACTCAGATCCCATAGCCTAGTTAGTTCTGTTGCCCCAGTCCCGTGCCCCAGCCCTTTCCTCTAAGGCCTTGTGACCTGACTCCTCGATACCTTTTTTTTTCCCGGTACCCAACAGTGTGTTTGGCCCCCTTCGGAAGAGGTTGTGGCCCTTGTAAGAGAACCTGGTTGTCCGTCCTTCTGGCGGACCCTGGCTGGGTGGTGTGGATGGCTGTTGGCAGGGTGAGGCATCAGTATCAGGAAGGGTATTGGGTAGAGTTGAGGATAGGGATGGGATCAGCACTGAGTTCACTGTGGACTCTGGACCTGGCCGGGCCCAGCTGGCTTTCTGAGGCAGTTTGTCCCCGGTCAGGGGCCTCTGTGGACCCAGCATGCCCTTGGGCTGAAGTGCAAACTTGAGGCAAGAAAAGGCCACTGGCAAGGGGTAATGAAGGCGCAGCTGGCGGGGCTCACAGGCTGTGGGTGCAAGGCCCAGCTGCAGCCAGGAGCAGGAGAAGACCTGGTAGATGACATAAATGCTGTGGGTGCCACGGAGCCAGGGCAGGGCTGGCTGGAGGCCCACTTGACCTGGTGGGAGTAGCAGAAAGGCCACACGTTTGCGCAAGCCCCCCAGCTGCAGGGTGATGCGGCAGGGCTGCCCATCTACCAGCCTTGTTTCCTCATAGCCTATCTCAGCCCTGCCCCTGGGTGAGTACTCCCTTGTACAGTGGGCAAAGGCACCTTCAGGTCCCGTACGCTCCAGCAGCTCTGGCAGTGGTCCCACAGGAAGCAGAGCCCGCCGACTCCGGCGCAGCAGACCTAGCCCAAGGGGCAAGGGTAGGCCTAGGCGGGCACGGATGAGCCATGGAGGTGGCTTTGACTTTTGCTTCACCAGTACTCCAAGTAGGTCATAGCATGCTGCATCTGCCAGGAAGGGAACAGCCACCGCATTGGGTCCAAAGCGCTCCTCGATGACCTGTGGAGCAGTTGGGCAAGGGTCAGAGCTGGGAGGTATTGTCCCTCGACCTGTCCCTCCCAAAGCTGTCCAAGATTCAGCCCCTTTCACTGGCTCAGTTCCCCCACCTTGTCTTTGATGAGAGCCCAGGTGGAGTCAGCCTCAAAGAGTGACAAAGGCTGGGGGGTGCTGGCTGCCATGATCAGTGAGGGCAGCCCCCAGAGGGCAGGGGTGTTAGGCCTGCAAGCCTCTGCTCTAGGCCCTGGGCCTGAGGTCATAGAGCTGTTGCCAGGCACCAGGTCTTGGAGGCAGGACTTCTGGGTTCTGTTTCTGGAGCCCCAGGAGGAGGGAAGAACTACTCGGGCTTTGTGTCTAACTTTGGGATTCCCTGGGAGGCAAGACTCTGGGGTTCTTGGTTCAGTTTAGGAAGTCCATTGGATTTAGGGCTCTTGGTTTCTGCTCAAATTTGGAGTTAATCTCAGGTGTGCCTCAGCCTCAGTTTACTCCATGCTGCTATTATGTCGATAAATGAACCCAGGCTGCAGGGTTCAGGGAGTGGTGGTGGCCTGTGGAGATAGCATGCCTCCAGGAGGGAGAGGCAGTTGAGATCTGTGACTGGAGAGGGTGAGCCTGTTCATCTCCTTATCTCAGGAGAGGGAGGCACAGGGGATGTCAGAGAACCTAGAGTGGATTTAGCTCCCTAGGGAAGGATGGACTCAGTCTCTTAGTTCAGTGAGGAAGCAAGGAACTCTGCCCAGGCCCAAAAGTGCCCTGGAGGACCCAGACAGGTTCTGGGTCCGTAGAGAGAACTGGGGGAAGGAGACACTGTGTCCTGAGATGACCAGGAAGGTGAATAAAAGCCCCAGACTTGGGCTCCTGTGTTGCCATGGAAACCAGAGCCTCAGGGCCCCGGGAGTCGCTGCGGCGGGGCGGGAAACCAAAGCAGGGCTGCAGAAGGGGGGTGTTGTGTCCATGGTAACCGAGAGGAGAGAACGTGCGCCAGGCTCACGCCACTGTTGGCAGGGTAACAGCAGTGTGAAGTGGCTCTGGCTGCCCGCTCCCTGCATTTTTGCCCTGGCCCTCACTTGCTGCTCGCCCTTACCCCAACCACGCTTTGCTGACCCGGGCCCTAGACTGGGACTTCGAGGAGAGTGCCATTTCCCAGATTTTTTGTTGCTGGGGAGAATACCTCGAACCTGTCCTGTGGTTTCCTCGCCCCCTCTGCAGAAGAGAAGATTTAGGATGGATTAAAATGATCAAATGAGATATTTACAAAGCGCATAGCACTGTGCCTGGCATATAGTAGGCACTTAATAAATGTTTGGTCCCTTCATCCCTCCTTTCTTTAGGTATTTAATGATTGTCTCATGGACGTGTTGTGCCTGGTCCAGGAGATCGCTCTCAATTCAACAAATATTTTCAAGTTACTACTGTTTTCGAGGCACTGTGCTAGACTGAGGGGTAGGGGGTGGGGAAGAGGTGGAGGAACAAAGACAAAAAGGAAATAGTCCCTGCTCTCTAGGAGCTTACATTCTACTGGCATCAAGTGTGGGAAGGCAGATTTCAATTCCATGTCAGAAAAAACCCCCAACACAAAACTTTCCACTGACCCAAGCAGAATGGGTTTGTACCTGAAGGTAATGAATTTCCCCTCATGGGATCTCCAAGGGAATCAATGCCCGCTGACTGACCACTTATTGGGGCTGTCTTAGGGAATTCTGGTTCAGGCTGGAATAAATGGCCTCTGAGGCCCCTTCCAAACCTGAGATTCAGCAAAAGCATCTCATTGGTACCGGGAAAGAGACTTGGCTTCGACTCTGAGTTCTTACGCTTATTAGCTGTGTGGTCTTTGATGATGACAGCTGGAATTTATATAACACTTTAAAGTTTACAAAGCATCATAAATATAAACTCCTTTAAGCCTCAAAACCACCCTGGCGGTTGAGTGGTGTTACTGCTCCGTTTTACAAATGAGCAAACTGGGGCAGACAGTTAAGTGACCTGCCCAGAGTCACACAACTGTGTCTGAGGCAGGATTTAAATGGAGGATTTCTGAAGTTGAGCACTCTATGCACTATGCCATCTAGCTTCCACTTAACCTTTGGCAAATGACTAAACCTCTCTGAGCCTCAGTTTCCTCATCTGTAAAAAGGGAAAGTAAATAATACATGTACCTCCTTCAGAGGGATGTTGTGAGGGTTTCAGGGGAGGGAGAAAGACATCATTCCATCAAACACTGGTCTCATCAACTACAGACTGGAGTGACGGAGAGACACGTCTTTCCATCCTGCTCCCTTCTTTGCCTGGCCTAGCCTGCCTCCAGGGGAAGGTGAGAAACATCATCTACTCCTTCTTTGGTCCCTATGCTTGAGCTAACACCCTGAGAGGAATCCATCTATCCGCAGGCTAAACTCCTAGGGATTTTTATAACCTACCTGAACTCATTATTCAATGATTAACAAATTTGGGCCCACTCATACCCTCCACATCCCATTTTCTGCTCCCTTATTTCCATTCCACCCAACCCCTTCCCTCTCCAGTTTCCCACTCTAAAACTATCCATTCCTGTAACTGTGCTCTCTGGAATGCTTGCTCCATAGGTAACAAACTTTAAATCCCTTTTCTTACTCTTTCCATCTTCTCTCAGGATCTCATTGAAACCCGCTCCCCAAGATGTCATAGTCTCATTGTCCACTCTCTCCAGCACTTGTGGCACTTTCACACATTTCTCCTTTCCTCTCCCCCGTTCACTGGTTGAAGGTGGGGGGTTGGAATGTTCTTTACTCCTAATGGCCACTTCCAAGCTCTCCCTCTACTCCCATCCCTCAGTAACCTGTCCTTTGGGATTCATTCAAACTCTATTTACCGCCACTTAAAATCCTGGTGGCTATTGTCTGTTGGCTTTGAGGACACTCCCCTTCTTTCCTCAATGAGTTCAGTGAGCTGGCTCAGTTTTTCTCCTTCCCAGCTCTCGCCTTAGGATTCCAATGTGTATATTGACGTTCCCTCAAAAACCTCAACTTCCCAGCTTACTCACTCATTTCCCATGACTTACTTCCTCTTCTGTGTCTCAGTTACACAGAGATAGTTCATCCTGCCATCACCCATAAATGAACCACTTCCACGTTCATGAACACTGAAA